ACTCCTCCCCCACCCCCCCGACCTACCACACGGGATGGAAGAAGCTGAATCCTTCATCATAGGATCCAAAGCCATCGGAACAACAACCAGGAAACCTGAGCGGTCTTCAGAAACAGAAGAACAGTAAACTCCCTTCAGGACTAGGAAGACGAGCTATCTCTGGTTCTTACTTAGCTCCAATTTCGGGTCCCCACCCTCTCTGCAATGACCATGAGGGACGCTCCAGAGCCCCCTCCCCAAAACACACACACAAACACACACTCACATATTGGAATGGATAGGCAGAGAACAACAAGGAAGGCTTGGTCAGCATGGACTCACACACACCTTACTAGGTAGGACACGGGGATTAAGTACTCCTCACCAAGGTATGGAAGATTACTCTGCACACCCCTCCTAAAACTGTTTCGCACCTCAATTGTTGAAATGTCATTGAAATAGTCACAGGAAGTTGTTAAGACCATGCACCCAATTTTGACAAATTGGTTGCTCAATGCTTTGTCAATTTATCCCTTAACTTATATATTGTTGCTGATGTTATGTTGGGGCTTTTGATTGACCAGGATTCTACTCTGTTGGCTCTGCCTTCGGACCGGGGAGGGTCTCCCCAAGAAGCCACTGAACTTGACCAGACAATGAGATGCTGGACTCTGTGCTTGGTGTATGCTTGCAATGAAGGAATCTCAACTAAACCTGAACTGTGGTTGCGCAATGGGGAGTGGGGGTGGGGGGGTGGAGGGGGTGGCCGAGCCCACCATGGGGGGAGGGTTGGGAGAGGGGTGGGGGAATCCCAGTGCCTATATAGAACTGTGTCACATAACACAATGTAATTAGAAAAATATATATAATAATAATTAAAAAAAGTGATACAAGTGAAAAGAAAATCTCTTTCAAGCCCAAATAGCACATCTTAGGTAGAAGTTTTCTTAATCTTTGTTGATTTTTTTTTGTTTGTTTGTTTTGGAACCCTATAAAAATACCGTGTAGGTTTTCTCATGTTCATCAAATGTTATTTAGAAGACTATATGTACTTCCTTTGTTTTCTTACCATCTTTATTCAACCTCTCCTTATAATCTTTTTAAAAATGTGTTCATTTATTTATTTGAGAGGCCAAGGTACACACTGACAGATGAAGCTCCGGACTAAGGATTCCCCCCCCCCCCCCCCCCCCCAGTGCTCATAGCAGTGGGGTGTGGGCCAAGCCAGAGCCTGGAGCCGATTCAGGTCTCTCCCGGAGAGGGCAGCAGCCCAGTTTCTGGAACCGTTACCTTTGCCTCCCTATTCTGCAGTAGAAGGAAATTGCACTAAAGAACTGGACCCAAGGGTTCAGATATGAAATGTGGGACATCTTGCCAGTGTTCTTCACCTATAGGCTACATGTCCACCTTTTCCATAATATCTTAGAGTCTCTTGAGTGCTTCATGGTGGTTTTCTAAATATTTTGCTTTTGTAGTACAATCTGTACATAGTTTGTTCTCAGATATTTAAGCTGAAGGGGAACTGTCTTGTTTACTAGCAAGTATGTTCTTTTTGAATGTCAAATTGGAACGTGTCTTGTGTTACAGAAAAAAAAAAAGAAAAGAAAAGTATCTTTGGGCACAGCACAATGGCTAACCATCTGCCTTTAAAGTGCTGGGATCCCAAACGGAATGCCAGCTCATGTCCTAGCTGCTTCACTTCCCATCCAGCTCCCTGCCTGTAGTTTGTGAAAGCAGTGGAAGATGGCCCAAAGCCTTGGGAACCTGTAACAATCAGACATATCCAAATTAATCCTGCAAAAACTACCTATCATGGACTCTTAAAAATTAATGGAGGTCAAATGTGTGTTTTCCAGCTGTCAACATAAACATGATCCTCAGCTACTAATAATCATTAACCATCAAATAGGTGAATGAGTGCAGAAAGGTGTGCACTGTGATGCAGCAAATGAAGCCACTGCTTGGTACTGCTGCATCTCATACTGGAACATCCAGGATCAAGGCCCATCTCCACCAGAGATCCTGATAAACACGCTACAATGTATAGGAGAGCCTTACCTAACAAAGAATTATCTAGTCAAAATGTTAGCAGTCCAGAAGTGAAAAAACTCTACAGTGTTTGACCCAAAGAAACAGAAATAGGGCCTGGCGTGGTAGCCTATTGGCTAAATCCTTACCTTATACTTGCCAGGATCCCATACGGGCACCAGTTATAATCCTGGAGGCCCAACTTCCCATCCAGCTCCCTGCTTGTGGCCTGGGAAAGCAGTCGAGGACGGCCCAAAGCCTTGGGACACTGTACACAAGTGGGAAACCTGCAAGAGGCACCTGGGTCCTGGCTTAGGATTGGCTCAGCTCCACACAGAAGATCTGGAGGAAGCTCTTGGCTCCTAGTTTGGGTCTGGTTTATCCTCAGCCATTGTAGCTATTTGGGAGTGAGTTGGTAGTTGCCTTTCAAATAAAGTTAATCTTTTCTTTCTTCTTCTTTTTTAAAAAACAATTTGTTTATTTTTATTGGAAAGGCAGATTAACAGAGAGAAACAGAGAAAGATCTTGCATCTGCTGCTTTACTACCCCAAATGGTTACAATGGCCAGAGCTGAGTCAATCTGAAGCCAGGAAATTCTTCCAGGTCTAGCACATGAGTCCAGGGTCCCAAGACTTTGGACCACTTTCCACTGCTCCCAGGCCACAAGCAGGGAGCCTAACGGGAAGTGGAGCAGCTGGGACACACACTGGCACCCACACTGATGCTGGAGCTTGAAGACAGAGGATTAGCCATTCAGCCATCATTCCAGGCCTCCCTTTTTTCCTTTATAAAAAGAATTTGATGGGAATTCAAAATATTTTCTCAGTAAATGCAAAACAATAGACTAATTAAAAGTACTGATAGTCTAATGTTGATTAAATGCACAATTTTATTCCAGGGAGCCAACAGGCACATTTATGTGATTTGCCTCACCCACAACTGTGCTGATGCACAGCAGAGACCAGGAAAAGGAGATCACACCACTGATCCAAAATTAACAAGCTGGTGGGTGGAGAGGGAAAAAAACTGCACTGGAGTTAGATGAACTGTAGTTCTCTTGAGAAGCTCAGTAACAGAGTCCCAAAAAGGCAGAGAATGGAAAATAATGTAGAAGCAGCTGAATAGCTATAGGATATAGCAGATTTACCTACGGGCACTATAAACTATCATAATGTTGGGGATTCCATTGATTTTTTTGTCCTAGATAATCTCACTAAAGTAGTTTTTCAATAATAACTTCAAATGCACAAAACATAAGAACCAGACTAATAGGTGGACAGACACATATGATAAAGTGAGTAAAGCAACAGGCTGACAGTAAAATCTAAAAGATGGGAAAGGGAGGATTGTAGGTGCTAGAACACAGCTGAGTAAGACCTTCTGAGATGATAGAAACATTCTGTATCTGTTCTACCAAATATGGAATAGCTAAATGTGACCAGGGAGATTTGCAATGTGACTAGTGAGACTGCAGGACTTTGCATTTTATTAACTGTTAATTACTTTCAAATTGATATGGTCACCTGTGGCTGCTGTTACTAGTGTAGCACTAGGTTCATGCAATTTTGGCTTCATATCCTGCATTCACTATTGGTCTAACTTTATTTCTCTGAGTTTCAATTCTTTCCTATACAAAATGAGAACAAACTTAACATTTATTGATGTAGATTAAATGAGATAAAGCACACAAAGCATAAAGCAAAGCTACGCACATATAGCAAACACTTAAAACCAATGCTTATTATCCCTACTAAATGGCAAAGGTAATTATTTGCTCATCACTGTGTCTCAGTGTCCTAGTACAGTGTCCCTTTCATAAAAGACACTCATTAGACATTTGTGGCATGAACACCATGCCACAAGACTATTTCCTTCTGATAACTTTCATATATAATCCATTGCCCAATCTGCTGAGGTCTTGGAAAGATTTGAAACATGTCTCAAATGTATAACTGATATCACTTTTAGCACCTTATAAGATTCAGAAAAATGACATGTATATGTTAACCAGAGATATTCATAAAAATATCAATTAGACCTATGTCAGTGTTAACCTTTAGTTTAGTTACCATTATTTGAAAGTAGACAACTCCAAAATAATTAAGTATATTTCCACAATTTTATAGAAAAGAGAGGACTTTGAGAGGTACACATATAAGGAAAAATACTTATAAACTGAGAAATAATTTTTTCACCTAGAAACAAGCAAGCCAACATCTAGAACAGTTTCTTAACACTTAGCTCATAGTAGACATTCAACATATTTCATTTTCATTTTGCTCATGTATATCTACTATGTCCACAAAGGTATTAACTATGAGAAACTTGCAAGAACTCAATTATACCAACAACTCCTTGATCGCAAAGTATTCTTAAAAAAAAAAAAAAAAAAAAGCATTAGTGGGAGGGTAGTGTTGTTATGCCAGCATCCCATATGGGCACCAGTTCAAATCCCAGTTGTTCCATTTCCAATCTACCTCTTGCTAATGCGTCTGAGAAAACAGTGAAGTGCTTGGGCTCCTGGACCCACATAGGAGACCAGAAAAATTCCTGGCTTTGCTTTGACCATTGCAGTCATTTAGGGAGTGAACCAAAGGATGAAAGATATATTTCTCTCACTCTCCCTCTGAATCTGCCTTTCACATAAACAAATCTTTTTAAAATGCACAAAATTTGTTCCCTTTATATAAATTTTAAAAATTACTTATTTGGGTGGAAGGCAGGGCAGGGAAATTAAAAGAACTTCCATCCACTGATTGATTCTCCAATAGCCATAACAGCTAGGGCTGCACTGGGCTGAAGCCAGGAGCCAGCTATCTCAGGTGGGTGACAAGGATCCAAGCACTTGGACCATCCTCTTCTGCATCAGCAGGGAACTGGATTGGAAGCAGAGCAGTTAGGATTCAAAGAGCACTCAGACTAAGGAAGCAGCTTAACCTACATCACCAAAGGCCCCCAAAAGTACTCTTATAAATCACTGAAAAACAACTCACCCTTCAATAGCTGGTGATCGGTCAGGACGAGTACTGCCTCGGGATCTAGACCTCCGAGTCACTGGCAGCCGGGGAGGCCGACTGGTTCCCCAGAATTCAGTGTGAGTCTGCTGACCTCTCTCATTGGCTCTATTATCTTGGTCCAGTGGATTGCTACTTAGAAATGGTCTAAACTCTTGCAAAAACATCGGGTGATTCAAATGGTCCCAAAGCTAGTAAAACCAGAAATAAATCATGAGTTAGGAACAAAGAAGAGATAGGGAAAAGACAAAGAAACAACTTTTAATACTCTGCAACTCATCTTCTAAAATAATAAAATATATTCCCCCAATTTCATGGAAAACAGACATTTCTGAAGTACACACACAAAAGAAGATAAGTAGATATACAGCTTATTATTATGTAAGGATAACTTCACCTGTCCATGGCCACCATAAGCACAAACCAGCTCCTCAAACCCAGGGACCTTGCTTCTGCCTCACAGGGTAGTACCAGGAACAATAGGACATGTCAACCTATGACTTGACCTTTTTTTTTCCCAAGATTTATTTAATTTTTACTGGAAAGTCAGATATACAGAGAGGAGGAGAAACAGAGAAGAAGATCTTCCATCCACCAATTCATTCCTCAAGTGGTCGCAATGGCTGGAGCTGCATCAATTCAAAGGAGCCAGGAGTCTCTTCCGAGTCTCCCATGTGGGTGCAGGATCTCAAGGCTTTGGGCCGTCCTCGACTGCTTTCCCAGGCCACAGCAAGGAACTGGATGGGAAGTGGAGCTGCCATGATTAGAACAGGTGCCCATATGGGATCCCTGCACATGCAAGGTGAGGACCTCAGCCACTAGGCTACCATCAGGGCCCTATCACAGACTTCTAAACATAATCAGTCATTCAGATAAACCTTATAATCTTGTATTCTATAAAAATTACATCCAATTCCCACTATAGAATTTAGGCTTTAAACAAAATGTATACTGTTAAAAAAAAAAAGTACTGCCACTTCAAGATGAAAATAGATAGCTGGGGCCGGGCGATAGATATGCATTGCCAGCAGACAGCAGCTTAATCCACTGCACCATATGCTGGCAAGGGATGTAGGCATCTTAACCAGCATCTTAATCCCTGGCCAGCAGCTAAGTCCACATGGGACATCTGCATCTCATGGCAGAGGTCCTGGTCTGAGTCCCAGCTCCACTGATTCCAAGCCAACTTTCTGCTAACAGATAATACAAAAGACAGCAGGTGATGACCCAAATATTTGGGTGCCAGCCATCACGTAGGGTACACTCAATCCCTAGCTAAGTTCTGTGCTCCTGAATTTAGCCTGGCCCAGCAGTGACTTCTGTGGGCATCTGGGCAGTAAACCAACAGATGAAAGATATCTGTTTTTCTACCTTCAAATAAAAAACTAAAATAAAGTAACCACCCTAGTTTTTCATTTTTAATGTACAGAATTACACTGACACATTTTCTATTAACTCAATCTTGCATTATAAATGAACACAATTTGGCTTATGATAGAATTATTACCTTCTATCTGGGAAACTGCTGCATCTACATTTCTGAGTGAACTGGATTGTCAGTTTCCTTTCGTGTACTTGACAGGTTTTGTTATCAGGTTATAACATGATAAAAGTGCGAGAAAAGTATTGTCTTTCACATAAGCATTACATGGCACATAAACAAAATTAGTGGGTATATGTGTTTTAAATTTTGCTAGATGGTAGCAAACCACCCCTCAGAAGTCTCAGCTAACTGATACTTCCACCAGAGTACCAGAGCTTACACACCCCCATGCTTTGGTCAACATCACAAAAAAAGTTTTAAAAACTCTTAGTACCCAATCCAAAGGGCAAAACAATAGTATGACTAGTAAAAACATCAATACACTTTCTCTAAACACTGAGAGGTAAGGCGCTTTCTCATTTTAGCTGGCATCCTTACTTCATATACCAAATTGACTTTGGTTTGCTTTCTAGTGGCAGTCCCCATCCACTATCAGATAGCTCTGGTTTCTAGTCTGAAAAATAATCTACGACACAAGGGTTTTTTTTAAATTCAACATTCCAAAGCAAATCTCACATTTATAATTCCAAAATTACACACGCTTTCAATAAATGAAGGAATAGGAGCTGAGTCTTTCTTGTACTCAATCATCTACTTCACAAAAAGCAACATAAACTATAGAAAGAAATCCACGGTCCCTTATTGACACAGTTTCACATCTGGTCACAAGGAAATAAAGAAAGCCTCTGAAAATTTGAATTGTATTATAATCTACTAACTGACAATACTAGGTCCAAAATGTTTTAAAATTTTGACTAGAAGAAAAGCTATGCACCAAGCTTCTAAAATTAATAATCTGTTTTAAAATCACATTCCTTAGATGACTTTAAATTGTTATTAAGCCCAATGGTACATAATAATTTTGGAGCTTTCAGGATTAGAAGTAGCTTCCATATCAGCATAAAGCATTTGCCATTGGCTCAAGCAGTACATAATGCAGACTAATAGCAACAATCATTGTATCTATAGTGTATTTTCATCCCAAAATGATAGAGTACTCTGGTCACACAACACAGAATAAAAAAAGCTCACTTGACAAATTCACATCAAATCAACACTAAGAATAAAAATAGCTCAGGTCATCTGTTTCTCAGGAGACTCAGACAAGTCTAAGCGAAATAGTTCATAAGACAAAACTGGGTATTCAGGACGTGACTTATGTAAGCAAAAATGGAGAACTCTACCACAGAATATTGGTGAAACATCCAAACTAATCAGAGAGAAAGTTTATTGTGTACATTTTGTCTTGAAAAACCAAATAGTTCCCTAAATAGAGTAAAAAGACTATAGCTCTGTTTTTAATATAAATACTAGAATGGCCAAAATCTCATTTAGCAGAATTTGCTCTGAATCAAACATAATTGCATCTGTTCCTCTTAAAAAGTTTCTCAAAATGTTAAAGTCACCACATAACTGAGCAATTTCACTTCTTTAATATTTATTTTATTTCTATTAGAAAGTCAGATATACAGGGAGGAGGAAACAGAGAGGAAGATCTTTCATCTGTTGATTCACTCCCCAAGCAGCTGCAACGGCCAGAGCTGTGCTGAATCAAACCCAGGAACCTGGTACCCCTTCTGGGTCTCCCACACAGGTGCAGGCTCCCAAGGCTTTGGGCCATCCTCGACTGCTTTCCCAGGCCACAAGCAGGGAGCTGGATGGGAAGTGGGGCCACTGGGACATGAACCAACGCCCACATGGGATCCCAGTGCATGCAAGTAGAGGACTACCGTGCCAGGCCCAGCAATTTCACTTCTAATTATACATTAACAAAAACTGAAACACTGTCAAACCAAAAGTTGTACAAAAATATCCGTACAAATTATATTAACCCAAATATCTATCAACTAATAAAATGTAAAAATAAAATACTGCGCTAAAAGGGAACAATGAATCTCTACACAAGACAACATGTATGAGGCTTGGAACATTGTTAAACAGAAAAAGTTACAAAGGGTCACAAATTGTATGATGTTATTACATCCAATGTCCTATATTAGCAAATCTATAGAGACAGAAAATAAATTAGTGAGCTGCCTTCGGCTGGAGAAATTGTGAAGCAATAAACGGAGGTTATGGGCTCTAGAATTACCGGTAATGTTTATACAACTTTGTAAATATACCAAAACTACTGACCTGTATACTTAAAATAAATTACATAGTATATGAATTATAAGCTCAATTAAAACACACTGTGGTCTACACAAATGAGTCAATAATGTCAAACCAGCCTTCAAAATGCAATTTTAAAAATCCACAAGTCTATGTAAATATTAAATCAAGACAACTGACAAAGCACCACTCTCAAAGTTTCCCTTGTGCCCTTGGTAACTTCTCCGTCATGCTCCTCCCACCTCACACCTCAAATAATCACCCATCCCTGTGGTTTGCAATGGCTGGAACTGGGCCAATCTGAAGTCAGGAGCCAAGAGCTTCTTCCTGGTCTCCCACACGGATGCAGGGTCCCAAGGCTTTGGATGATCCTTGACTGTTTTCCCAGGCCACAAGCAGGGAGCGGGATGGGAAGTGGAGCCGCGGGGACATGAACTGGCACCTATACAGGATTCCGGCACGTGGCAAGGCAAAGATTTAGCCACTGTGCCATCAAACCAGGCCCAGATTTACTTATCTTTATTTAAAAAGCAGATTTACAGTGAGGAGAAATAGGCAGAGAAGGTCTTCAATCTGATGGTTAACTCCCTAAACAGCTGCATCAGTCAAGAGCTGAGCTGATTTCAAGCTGGGACCAGTCTCTTCTGGGTCTCCCACGTGGGTACAGAGGTCCAAGGATTTGGCCCATCCTTCACCGTTTTCCCAGGTCATAAGCAGGGCACTGAATGGGAAGTGGAGCAGCCAGGACGCAAACCAGCAACACAGGGAGGAGGATTAGTCAGCCCTAACTGTGGTTTCAACCTGCATTTCTCTGTTAACTAATGATGCTAACCTTCTCTTTGTACATGTACTTGCCACTTGATCATCTTAACTGTTGAAACAAATCATTTAAATCTATCGTCATTTTTTTAGAAGTTGGTAATTTTCTGGTGAGCCCTTTAACCTAGCATTGAAGATGCTAAAATGCCCATATCCTTCATTAGAGTACCTGGGTACCATTCCCAGCTCTAACTCCTGTCTCCATCTTCCTGCAGAAGTGGACCCTGAGAGGCAACAGTGATGACTTAAGCAAATGGAGTCCTGCCACTCACAGGAAACCTAGATTAACATCTCAGCTCCAATTCTGGTCCCCAGCCTGACACCATCTACTGCAGGTGTAAGAGCTGCACACCAATAACTGGAAGGTCTCCCTCCGTCTCTTTGTATTCCATCTCTCAAATTTTAAAAATTATAAAAATAGGTAGTTTTCTTATTATTGCATTTTAGTTCTTTACTAGATAATAAATAATTCCAATATTCCCTATTCTTTGACTCATCTTGTTTTAATTTATTCATTATTTTGTAACACAAAGAGACAAACAGAGATTGACGATCCACTAGTTTATCCAAAATCAGGCCTGGACAAGGTCAAAAGCCAGGAGCTGGGAGCTCAGTCTGGGTCTCCCATGCAGGAGGCAGAGCCTCACTACCTGAGCCAGGATGTGCATTAGCAATGGGAAAGGGAAAGGGACAGAAACTCAAACCCAAGCACTTCAA